ATTTTCATTAATAGAAAGATTAGCCAGACCAAAAAAAATCAACAAACATCAGCATTAAATTACAGTATAGGTTAAATGACTTAAGAGACATTTAGAGAAAATTCCATCCAACAGCAGTAGATTATACACTCTTTTAATCATGGAAGATTTTCCAAAGTAGATCAGATATGAGAGGCCACAAAGCAAGTCTTAAAAAATACAAAAACAACTGGAAAAATTCCTAGCATTTTATTAGATTATAATGGAATGAAACTGGAAATCAACAGTAAAGAGTAACTACAGAAATTAAACAAACACATGGATATTGATCAATAAGCTTTTGAAATAACAGTGGTTTATTCAAGAAATCAAAGGATGTGGGCTTGGATTATATGTGTATGCCATATATACTTGGAGGCAGAGATTGGGAGGATTGAAGTTTGAGGCCAGCCTGGTCCCCTCCACTCAAAAAATTAGCCAGATCCCATCTCAACCAATAAGCTGGGTGTGGCGGCATGTATCTGTAATCCCAGCTCTGTAGGAGGCATAGGTAATTCCAACTATGTGTGGGAGGTGTAGGTAGGAGGATCTCAGTCTAGGCCAGCCTGTGCAAATGTGTGGGACCCTATCTGAAAAATGACTAAAGCAAAAAGCGCTGTTGGAGTAGTTCAAGTACTAGAGCTCTTGCCTAACAAGCTCAAGGATCCAAATGCAAACTCCAGTACCATGGGGAAAAAGAAGCAATCAAAGGGCAAGTTAAGCAATTCTTAGAACCAAACACAACATACCAGAACCTGTGTGATACAGAAAAACATTAAGAATGAAATTTATAGCTACAAGTGCCCACATTTTAAAAAACAGAAATCTCAATTAAATAACACAATGATGCATCTTGATGTCTTAGAACTGTAAGAGCAAACTAATATTATAATTGGTAGAAAGAAAGAAATAATAAAAATAAGGACAGAAATAAATTAAACAGACTAAAAGACCAACACAAAGGATCAATGAAAGAATGAGTTGGTTCATTGGAAAAAAATAAACAAAATTAACAAACCCTTAGCTAAATTAACCAAAAGAGAGAAGACACAAATAAATACAGATGAAAAAAATATATTAAAGCAGATACCACTGAAATTCATAGGACTATTAAAAAGAATTTTGAGAACCTATACACCAATAAATTTGAAAATCTGGAAGAAATGGACAAATTTCTGGACACATATGACCTATCAAAATTGAGCCAAGAGGATATTTTTTTAAAAACCTAAATAAATCAAAAACAAGAATGGGATTGTAGCAGTCATAAAAAGTTTTTCAACAAACAAAAGTCCAGGACTATATAGATTTGCTGCTAAATTTTACCAGAATTTAAAAAGAACTAACATCAATGCTACTCAAACTATTTTGAAAAGTAGAAATGGAAGGAATCCTTCTAAACTATTCTATGAAGCCAATATTACCTTGCTACCAAAACCCAATAAGGACACAAAACAAAAGAAAGTCATTGACCAATGTCCTTGCTGAACATGGATGCAAGAATCCTCAATAAAATACTTGAAAATCAAATTCAATTGCACCTTAAAAAGATCATATACTATGATCAAGTTGGTTTCATTCCAGGGATTTAAGGATGGGTCAACAAACACAAATCAATAAATGTAACACAGCACATAAATAAAATCAGGCATAAAAGCCATATTATTATCTCAACATGTGCAGAAATAGCCTTTGATAAAATTCAACATCCCTTCATGGTAAAATCTCTGAATAAATTAGGTCTAGAAGGATCATAACTCAAAATAATAAATGCTACATATGACAAATCCATAGCCAACATCATATTGAAAAGGGAAGACTGAAAATATTTCTTCTAAAACCAGGAACAAGACAAGGGTATCTGCTCTTACCACTCTTATTCAATATAGTTCTTGAAATATTAACAAGAGTAATAAGGCCAGAGAAAGAAATACATGTAGGAAAGGGGGAAGTTAAATTTTTATTACAGATATGATACCATACTTAGAAAGAAACCCTTAAGAGTTCACCATAAGAAAGAACTGATTTTAAAAAATTCACTTAAGTTACAAGATACAAAATCAACATACAGAAATCAGTAGCTTTTCTGTATATCAATAATGAACTCACTGAGAAAGAAATCAGGAGGGCAGCCTCACTGACAATAGGCTCAAAACAAAACAAACAAGCAAACAACAACAACAAAACAGGAACAAATCTAACCAAGGAGAGAGAGCTTTACAATTAAAATTACAAACATAGAAAGAATTTGAAAATGACACTAGAAGCTGACACTAGAAGCTGGAAAGACCTCCATGTTCATGGATTGGGAGAATTAGTTCTGTTAAAATGGCCATGCTACAGAAAATAATCTATGGAGTCAGTGCAATCTTCATCAAAATATCAATGACTTTTTTCACTAGAAAAAACTGGAGAAAACAATCCTAAAAGTCATATGGAAACACAAAGGCCTTGAATAGCCAAAGCAATCCTGAGGAAAAACAAATGCTGGAGAGGCATTATGGTACCTGATTTCAAAACATACTGTAGAGTCAGAGTGAAAAAACAAAACAAAACAAAACAGCATGTTATTAGCATAAAAACAGATATGTAGACTATTGGAGTGAAATAGAGAACCCAGAAATAAATCCATTCATTAACATTCACCTGATTCTTAATAAAGGTGCCAAAAACATACATGGGAGAAAAGATCACCTTTTTGACAGATGGTGCTGGGAAACCTGGAAGTCCACATGCAGAAGACTGAAACTAGATTTCTCTCTCTCACCCTGTACAGGAATCAACTCAAAATGGATAAAAGACCTTAATGTAAGACTTGAAACTTTGAAACCACTGGAAGAAAACCTAGAGGAAAGGCTTTAAGATACTGATATGGGGTATGATTTCCTGATAGGATTCCAATAGCCCAGGAAACAAAAGCCAGACTTGACATATAGGATTGCATCAAATTAAAAAGCTCTGCATAACAAAGGAACCAACCAAAAGAGTGAAGGGCCAACTTACAGAATAAGAGAAAAATCTATGCCGGCTACCAAAGGATTCATATACAGAATATATATAAAAAAAAAACTGCAAAAGAACAAGTAATCCAATAAAGATGGGCAAATGATCTGAACAGACATTTCTCAAAAGTACTAATGACTAATAAATGCAAGACAAAAATGCTCATATCTTTAGCTGTCAGAGAAATGCATATTAAAACTACATAGAGGCTGAGCATTGTGATAAATATTTGGAAATGGAGACAGGAAGACTGCAGCTTGAGGCCAGTTTGGGTGAAAGTTAGTAAGACCTCAGATGTGGAGGTGCATGCCTGTAATCCCAGCTACTCAGGAGGCAGAGGCAGGAGGATTGCAAGCCAAGGTCAGCTGAGGCAGTTATCCTAAGACCCTATCCGAAAAACAAACTAAAAACAAAAGGTCTGGGGCATGCCTGAAGTGGTAGAGCACTTTCCTAGCAAGGACCTGAGTTCAATCCTCAGTTCTGAAAAAATAAAATGAAAAACAACAAAACAAAACAAAACAAAACAAAAAAACCTCTAAAATCAAAAAACTAGACTGAGATTCCATCTCACCTTAGTCAAAATGGTTGTTATAAACAACAATAGCAACAACAAATACTGGTGAGGATGTGGAGGAAAAAGGACCCTTTTATACATTGTTGGTGGGAATGTAAAATTAGTAAAGCTGCTATAGAGAATGGAATAGGGGTTCCCCAAAAACCTAAAAGTAGAACTACCATATGACCCATGTTATTTATGTGAAGGAAATGAAGTGAGCATTCAAAAGAGATACCCTCAATACCTATGTTTATTGTGTCAGTATTCACAATAGCCAAGAAATGGAATCGGCCCAGGTGCTCATCAACAGATGAATGGATAGAGAAAATATGTTACAGATACACAATGGAGTATTATTCAGTCATAGAGAAGAATGAAATGATGCCATTTGTGGGAAAGTGGATGGAACTGGAAATCATTATGCTAAGGGAAACAAGCCAGACACAGAGAGATAAAGTATTGCATATTTTTTCTCATATGGGGAAACGAAAAGAGAAAAAAAATGACTTAAAAGTAGAAGAGGGACTATTAGGGATAGGGAAGGGAACTGGGAAGGAGGAAGAAAATGGAGGGCAAGACAAAGTAGAAGGGAGGTGGACAGGATCAAAGTATGATACGCACAAGTACAGAGATGACACAATAACGCATTCATTTGTACAATTAACACGTGTTAGTAACTATAATAAAGTGGATTAGCATTCTTTATTCATTTTTTACTATAAGGACTATCTATATTCCTTAATAAAAAAGAAAACAAAAATAATTTGGGAAGTTTCCTGTCTTTTCTCCTGCTATGGAAAACCTTTTAAAGAAAAAACCCAACATGATGTACCTACTGCATTTTTGAATTCTTTGTAAGTTTGATGTATTTTCTTTTCTAAAACCATCTTGTTCTAGGCTGTTTTAGAATTGGGCTGTTTTTGACTGCCTTTTAGCTATGGTTTGGATCGGGAATGCCCTGCACAGGCCCATGTGTTGAGGGCTCGTCCCCAGTCCACTCATGCTACTCAGAGGAGTAGAACCTTAGCGGTGGCACCTGGTAGAGGTTGGAAGCACTGGGGGAGTGCCTTTGCAGGGAACTCTGGGACCTAGTCTCTTTCTCTTTCTTGTTTTGTGTCTCAGCCGTGAGGTGACACCTTGCCATGGTGTGCTGTCTTACCACAGGCACAAGAGCAATGAACCGAAAACCTTCAAAACTGTGAACCAAATAAGGCTCGCCTTTTTCTAAGTTCATCAGATCATTTGTTCAGTGGTGAAGAGAGGACTAACAGACTTCTCTGCAATGGATGAGGGCCTATCTATTGGTTATTGGCTTTCAATCAATTTTTGTGTCAGTTTTGATAGCTGGTTTCCTGAAGAAGTGTTGCTGGGTTTTAGGAGATTCTTTTTTGTTCAAAGAAGACCAAGACAAACACATGCTCACCTGTAGTTTTGCCAGATCTTGGAGGCCCCACAATTATAATCCGAATAGGCACAGTAGGCTTAGGATGGGGTTGCCGGATATATTTGATTGGGTTCTTCATAAATTTTTCTTTGGTTTCTTTACTGGATAAAAAATAAATATACTGACGATGGATCACAGGATAACTTGGGTTCTCTGCATTTTCCGCTGGCTTGATGGTGTCTCCTTCACTCAGCTGCAATGTAATGAAATCTGTAAGTTAGTTTTAATTTATACAGCATTTCCTCCAAATACATTTGTAAAGTAAGAGAGAAAGCCTCTTCCTGTATGCAATATGAAATGTGATTATAAATATTGATGTGTAGAAAGCACAAATTATTTCATATACAGATGCAAACAATATGTTTCCTAATTGGCTTTCTGTTTGTGACAATTACAGTTCCCCTCTAATATCTTTAGCATGTAGTGAATGTTTCTGTCACAGGGTATAAGATCATTGCATTTCTTTATTGGCTCATTTGTCCTCACAAACAGATCCTTTCCTAAGGTGGTGATATGGATTGAATCCTTCCCTTACAATTCATATCTTGAAGTCCTGATTACCATAGTGGCTGTGTTTAGAGATAGAGTCTTTAAGGAGGAGGTAAGGTTAAATGAGGTCTTAAAGATAGGCCCTAATTCAATAGGACTGGTGTCCTTCTAAGAAGAGGAAGAGAGAGCATAGAGAAACTCTACATGAACACACTGTAGAGTGTCAAGTCAAGGAGACAGGTCTTAGGGAACTTTGGTCTAGATCTCCAACCTCCCGAACTGTGAGAAAATGTTTCTGTGCTTACAGTATCCTGGCTGTGGAATTTTGGTATGGTGTCCTGAGCAGAGTAATACAAGTGGGCTCCAGGGTTATCTTTTGGGGTAGAATGGTAGGGCAAATTCTACTGGATTCTCTTCTACATTTTTTGTCCTGATGAACTCCCACTCAGATCAACATTGGCAGCAAGGGAAAATTCCCACCAAAGGCAGCCTAAGGTGTAGGTATGGAATGGAGTGGGCAGAGAGAGTGGTCCCACACCTTTGCACCGGGGATGCTGAGGACTGGGTAATTACGTGCTGTTAGGTTTGATTATCAAATGGCCAACCATCAGCCATCTTGGACTTGACAGAGTAGGGTGAGATAGTAATGGCGGTATTGCCTCTCCTTACGAGTGCTACCAAAACAGCTGACACTGGTCAAGAGTATTGCCACTGTCATCATTCTTAGGCTGGAGTGAATTTCATGGCTAGGAGTGTATGCTAGGGACCAGAAGATGCTCAGGGTCCTGGCGTCTGCTCCATGTTATGTACTTTGTAAAAAAAAAAAAAAGGACAAAGCTGAAAGTTCAATCGCTCCATTTTATTTTTATTTTTTGGCAGTGCTGGGATTTGAACTCTGGGCCTCTTGCTTTCTAGGCAGGTGCTCTACCACTTGAGCCACTCTTCCAGCCCTTTTTTGCTTTTGTTATTTTTCAGGTAGGATTTTTCCATTTTTGTCTGGGATGGGCCTCAGATAGTGATTCTCCTACCTATGCCTGCCGTGTAGCTGGTATGACAGATGTGAACTACCACACCCAGTTTATTGATTGAGATGGGGTCTCGGTAACTTTTTGTTTGAGCTGGCCTCAAGCCTTGATTCTCCCTATTGCCACTTCCCAAGTAGCTGGGATTAAGTTTGGAAGCATGGGCTGCCACACCTAGCTTCAAATTCCTAAGTATTTTTATAACTTGTTAAAAAATACTACTCAATGTTCACATTTCTTTAAACAAATAAGCAAAAAACATAGCTTTCAGATGCATTTGCTGAGATTACCTTTACAGGATCCCAATAGCCAAACGAGCTTGTGTACTTGTAGGTACAGGCGAGCATTTTCTGGGCGAGTTGTGTGGATACAGAATAACATTTCTCAAAGATGCTTGCACGATTTTCCACCAGTGGCTTCAGTTTCAAATTCAGTACATATTGTACAATATGAATTCTCCGAGCTCCATTCACAGGAATTATTGGTATCAAAACCTTCTCAAATTCATCCTGCAGAGACAAATTAGAGAACCTAATATGTTTAGTGGGAAAAGGCTGGCAGTATTCAGTCATAGCACACAGACACAACTGGTGGTAACTTCAGTGTAGAAAACAATTATTATTATTATTTTCTGCATGGTTTCTTCTTAAATTTAATTTTATTTTTATTATCATATAATGGTTGTACTGGGGTACACTGTGACATTTGCAAAAATTCTTGCAGTATATCTTAGTTAGATTCACCCCCTGTTACCATTTTCCTTTATTTCTCCTTCCCCCATTGCTTCAATAGTTTCAATAGGCCTCATTTTCTCATTTCCATACATGAGTACATATATTTCACCACATTCACCCTCCTACACCCTTTCCTCACATCCTCCCCCCCACCCCCACTGGTACCAACCTCTCACATAGGACCTGTTTTACCTCCCTGTCCTTTGTTTTTGAAAAAAGACATTTTTGTTTGTTTAAGCAGCTACACAGGGAGTTTCATTGTGACGTTTGCATGTATGTATGTATTATATTCTGAATTAGTTCATCTGCTCTATTTTTCTCCTTTCCACCTTCCTCCCCTTCTTATGCTGATTTCTACAGGTTTAAATATTCCATATTCGGTTATTTTTCAGCTTGTAAGTTGTTGAGTATTGGCAGCTCAACTTACTCTGTCCCCGTGAGGCTTTTGTGTTGCTCTTGATCTATGGACTTATTTTCATAATTACTAAGTGGCATGGACAAAGGGGATACAGCTCTAAAGTCTATGCAGCTTTTGAAATGTTACAAAGAAATAAGGTGTGGAACCAAAGTGCTTTTTGTTCATTCTCAACTACTACTTTCTGAGTTATGAAAAATGAAGGAAAAGTCATAACCTGTATCAATTGTATATTGTTCACATCCATTTCAAATTTCTCTCCCAATTCACTTCTCAGGCGCTCAGTCGCATCGACCTCCTGCTCCTCGTCTTCCTCGCTCATCTCTTCCTCATCTTTGGGAAACTCATCTTCAAGGATGTTTTCAATAGCATCTTCATCATCTTCACGCTCTTCCTCGCTAAAGTCGTCATCATCTCTAACAGAAGCCTAGGGTAGAAATAGGCCTTTTTACTCTGCATGTGAAATCTATGCCAAATGACAGTGTCAGCAAATGACTGGCAATATTTTATACTGACTCCATTTTGGTACCCCATGACAATATCCATTTGGTAACCCAGGAAGATGTTAAACATGTGGTACCCAGAAATTTAATACCTTCAAGTCTGTGGCACCATAGTGTTCCCATAAGTAAGTCAGCAGACAAGACAGTATATGTGATTTGTATGTATGGTTATCATAATATCATATGTTTTTAATGGTCTTCAGGAGCAACATGTAATGCAGCTCAAAGAGCACAAAAAATTTACTAGCTGTATTCACTGGGACAAGATCAGTTTCCTTGTCTGTAAAAAAGGAATAATAGAACTCCTATCTTCAAGGTTTTGAGCTGCCTTAGGTGAATTAATACAGGGAAAGTTACTACATGGTAAGTATGTAAATGAAAGCTAGAATTGCTTTTCTTATGCTACTGTAGTCACTTTGTGTAAAGCACTGTGCTGCTAATGTACACGCCTTTCAGGAAGTGACAGCCCATCTGAGAAAAAAGATGAATACACCAGTAATCATTAAAGAGCATGACTAGACTTAGCTACAAAGTTGTGCTGCCCAGGCTGTCTACTCTTTTGAGTGCTACTGAGGCAGATTAGTAGCCAGGGAAAATAACGTACCAGGGGCATCCTTTTCTTAAGCAAACAAAGTTATCAGGCACCCCAGCAGGCCCTGAACTATCTCTAGAGCAATAAATCCTTTCTAAGTTGCAAATACCCTGGCAGTTGTAAATATCTTTGCAAGACAGCATCCAGAAGAGGCACCTTTGGGTTTGCCTTGCTTGTTAAAAAAAAAAAAAAAAAGCCTGCCCCCAATTTGACCTTCCAGGTCAGTTCCTCTTTCTTAGGACCATGAATCATGCATATTGGTTGCTTCTTATATATACAGTTAAAGGCCAAAAATTAGCATAAGCACATGTGGAGGATATCCCTTGTTCTGCAAACCTGCCAGGCACCCTAGCTCCGCCCTTAAGGACTGCCCAGATTTTTCCCATTTTACAACTTAAAAATTGGTCTTTAGACAAAAAAGATCAAGACTTTAGTGCCATCACTGCTTCTCTGACAGTGTTTCTTTTTCCTTTCTATTTCTTTCCTTTTCTTTCAATAAAGTTATGCTACTGTTTTGCATTTTTGTCTCTGTCCAGTTCTCTGATGAGGTGACACAAGAATCCTTTGCATAGTGTCTTCTTAGACCACTCAGCCCTGTAACACTATGACTCACAACTGAGCGCTATAGGGTTTGTGTCCTTCTACACTGCCTCCACACTGTGCTCTGGGAAGTATTCCTGTGTCAGCTGCAGCTCTGCTCTTCAGTCAAGTTGGAGTTGGGAGTTACCTTGACTCTCTTTCCCTGCCTGCCCACCCAGGTACCAAGGGCTGTAATCCTCAGTAACGCTCAGCATGCTTTCCTTCCCAGGTCCTTTCTACTGTTTGCCTTCCAGTTAGCTTACTAGTTCCTACTTTATCTGGATGATCAGGCCTTTTGTTCCTTTAAAAGAGGCCTGGAAGCCTCGGACATTTGATCCTTCTACCTATGCCTACTTGTAGCTGGGATCACAGGCACGCCACCATGCCCAGCTTGTTGGTTGAGATGGGGGTCTTGCTAAAGTTTTGTCTGGACTGGCTTGAACTTGTGCTCACTTTTATGGCTATGCTTAGTACCTCTTTTGACTTTCTTTCAATTAAAAATAAACTGGACAATTTAAAAAAGAAACTCACTCCTGTTAAAAAGAAATCAAATAATATAGCATTATATGAAGTCAAAAGGGAAAGTCACCCATCACACGCCATCTCCATCTCCATTCTCTTCCCTGGAAATAACTTTGGTTGACAATTTAGTTTAGAAGCCTTCTGGATGATTTTCCACACATGTCTAGTTACATTTAAAACACAAATGACATCATTTTGTTTTCTACAACTGGCCTTTTAAAACTTAGCGACATATTTACATTTATTTCTAGATCAGAACATATTTCATTATTTTTAGTGGACACATAGTATTTCACAGAATCACAGGTTTGTTTGGTTTTTTTTTAACCATTTCTATATTTTTAAATGTGTTTCTTTTTCTATAGAAATCAGTTTTGCTTTGTTTTGAGCTGTTTGGAGACAAGGTCTCACAATGCAGTGCCGCCGGCTGACCTGGAAATTGGTATGCAGCACAAGCTGTCTTTGAAATTGTGATCCTCCTACCCCAGCCTCCCTAGTGCTGGGATTATATGCATGTGCCACACACCAGGTTAGAAGTCCATTTAGAAATTAAAACTGCTGGCCTGGTGGCTCATGCCTTAATTCTAGCTACTCAGGAGGCAGAGATCAGGAGGCTTGCAGTTCAAAGCTAGCCTGGGCAAATAATTTGTGAGACCCTATCTTGAAAAAAACCCATCACAAAAATGGGCTGACGGAGTGACTCAAGGTAAAGGCCCTGAGTTCAAACCCCAGTGCCACACACACACAAACACAGTGCCACACACACACAGAAGTGTAAGGTAGGCACTTCTGACCCTTGTAGTATTGTTAGAAATATATTTAAGATACTGGGGTGTCATGAGAGAGATGATAGTACTCAGAAGTCAATAGGCAAGGCAAAACTTACTTCTACAGAAAGCTGCACACCAGGAAGTCTGGGAGGCATGCACACCAGGTGGGAAGTCTGCAAGGGTCTTATTTGACACCATGCTGTCCCTCTCCTGCCTCTGGATTGGGCAGATTTAGGGCTCACAGTCTATGTGGTTGGCTAATTAGAAAGGGGCCAGTTAGGAGGTGGCTTTGGGAACAAAGAAGTTTAAAAGTTCAGGAAAGCAATAACTGTTTTTTGGTTATCAGCTCTGGAATCAAGGTGTTGCAGAAATGTGACTGACCAGCGAGAATAAGACTCAAATCCAGGTGCTTGGAGGAAAGGAAGTTTATTATGCTAGTGGGCCAGCACCTGGATATCTCCAAAATGGCACTGGCCCCGCAGCTCAGGGTGGTTGGGGTTTTTATATCTAGAGGAAAGCAGCAGCAAGCAAGCAGGGAGTACAGAAGCAGACATAGCAGTTAGCTTTTCAAGGTTGCGATATATCATGTCAGCACAGCTGTGGACCAAGGCTGTCCGCAGTTTCTAGTGAGATAGCTGGGTGCAGGGGCCCCAGCTAAGGGGAAGGGCTTTACTCATCTTTGATTCTTTCCCCAGCTTTGATCTTTCTCTGAGTTTCCTTATCAAGGGCATCTAGGGGAATTCTTGCTCCAGCCCAGCTAAGGATAACAACTCTTTGTTTTTAATAGAAACTTTTATCTTATTAAGCAGAGGCCATGAAGTGAGCATATGAGAAGCAAGTTAGTGAGACTAACATTTGTAACAGCAGCGGTTACCGATTAAATCCTTTGACAGAAAAGACCCAACTAAGTTGATTTTCACAAGTTCCCCCCTTTTATTTATAGTTTTTTTCTTTAAACTTAGCTAGTATTAACTGACTTTTGGTCAAGTCCAGTCATCTAGTTGTTCCCATCTTTATCAGACTGGACTTTTTTTTTTTTTTTGCGGTACTGGGGCTTGAATTCAGGGCATACACCTTGAGCCATTCCACCAGCCCTTTTTTGTTTTAGGTATATTGGAGATAAGGTCTCACAAACTATTTGCTTGGGGTAGCTTCAAACCTCGATCCTCCTGATCTCTGCCTCTTGAGTAGCTAGGATTACAGGCATGAGCCACCAGCGCCCAGCCAGACCAGATATTTTTAAGAGGGTCTCATTAGTTTAATTTGTCCTTGAGTCTTGTCACCTATATTTTATGATTATTGTTTATTATTTTGTTGAGACTCCTTTTTGTTTATTTTGGGAAAGTCTGCTTTGCTCCACACCCTGTATGAAGTTGCTTTTTTATTTAAACAAAGTTACTTTTGTTATTTGTTTCTTTAACATTCCTAGGGAGATTATTGTTATTTTTTTTTTTTTACATTTGTCCCCTTATGCTCCCCCTACCCCAGAGGTAATCCTGACTACTGTCAGGAAAAGGGGCGTTTTCTCAAGTGGTCCCTGAACAGTCAGTCAGGGTCTCTTCCGAGATGTCTAAGGGGGTCTATCAAGGGGTCCATGGTACCAGGGGGAGGTCTCTGGCATGTATGGCTTTGTCTCCATCACCATTTAGAGCTTGATTGTCTCCAACCTTGTGGAAACAAACTTGAGAAACAGATTAAGAGACCAGGGACTGAGTAGAGGGAGGAACAGGTTAATGAGGGTAGTCAAGATTATTTTTTTTTTTTATTGTAGCAGGATGTGTTGGCTACAGTACATTTTTAAATGTCTGAACCTGTGGGGTTTTTTTTTTTTTGTATTGAGTAGAATTACCATGGCAACAATAAATTATTAATATATATGCCCAATAAAAACCCATTGTTTAAAAAAAGTTAAAATCACCCTCTTTAAGTATCAAAGGACATATTAGAGCCAGTAAAGAGTCACTTTGTCTCTATTTATGTAGAAGGCCCTGGCTAACAATATGAGTTTGTGTCTGGAAGGGCTTTAATGCCAGATAGCACACATGCATAAGAACCATTTCCTCAATCCTCTCGGCTTTGGTTATTTTTGAGAGGCCTGGCATGAGAGATTCCATTTGAACTTTGATGGCATTCCCCCATTGGCTCCAAATTGCTTGTCTCTGAGCAGGCTCCTCTGAAGATCTGTCTCCCATCCAAGTACTAACCAGGCCTGACCCTGCTTAGCTTTTGAGATCAGACAAGACTGGATGTGTTTAAGGTGGTAGGGCTGTAGACTGAAGATCTTTTTTGATTGGTTATTTTTGTTTTTTGTAGTGAGAATTTGCTTTTTCCTGAATTTTTTTGTTTTTGGTCCCATGTCAAGGGGAATTAATAAGCAGATCAGGTGGGAGTCAATGCCATCTAAACCCTTTTGGCCAAATTTAAGCAACAAAGAGGCTTACAAGGAGTGGCTCTTGGGCAG